TAATAATGACACTTGTAGGAAGCTTAACCTAGTTTGGGGGTGAGCTGCTCCAAGTGCTCCAATTACCTCATGGACAACTTTTGAATCAACCTCCACATCTTCTGTAGTTCCTCTCTCGGCCCTTGGTATTTCCCAAGCTTCCCATGTTCCTTCTTCCTGATGTTGCTATCACTTGATATAGCTACATCTATTACTACAGCCTTCTTTCTTTACTTAGTCCCACAGGATCTTAGCTTGGTCATTCTTAACCACCCTAGAGGGTGTATTCCATTTTGACCTTGGGACATCCAGGCCATACTCAGCACAAATATTCCTGTATATTAAGCCAGCGGCTTAGTTAGGGCGTTCCATGTATGCACCCTGCTGTTATGTTCTGTCTTATTTACTTACTTTATAACTATATAAAGGGGCGATCGTGGCTCAAGAGTTGGGCGTTCGCCTTGTAATCGGAAGGTTGCCGGTTCGAGCCCCGGCTTGGACAGTCTCGGTCGTTGTGTCCTTGGGCAAAACACTTCACCCATTGCCTACTGGTGGTGGTCAGAGGGCACGGTGGCGCCAGTGTCCGGCAGCCTCGCCTCTGTCAGTGCGCCCCAGGGTGGCTGTGGCTACAATGTAGCTTGCCATCACCAGTGTGTGAATGTGTGGATGACTGAATGTGTAAAGCGCTTTGGGGTCCTTAGGGACTAGTAAAGGGCTATATAAATACAGGCCCTTTATATAAACATAATACATAGATAATCATTATCAATATGTAAATCTTCCTTTTTTCAGCTTAACAATCCAGTGATGGAAACCAAAACAGTGACATTTCTCAAGCTGGGCAAAACTCTCAAAGACCCTGCAGCTGGCAGCAACTGTCTGGTGGCTGGATGGGGAAAAACTGAAAAGAAGAATAGGTCGGATGTCTTGTTGTCTGTCAATGTGACTGTGATTGACAGAAAGAAGTGCAACTCTCGTGGTTATTACAACCGCAACCCTGTTATTACTAGTGACATGATATGTGCTGGTTCAAATGGAAACGCTAAGGCTAGTACATGTAATGTAAGTATATATTAGTAAGTTGCTTTGTAATATGAAATTGTAAATTGCAATAAAGCGCAAGACCTTTTTGGCTTTTTTAAATCTCCAGAATAGTTAAAACAACCCCCAAAAATGTCAAACATTTGTTCTTGCTGCAGGGGGATTCAGGAGGGCCACTGCTGTGCAATAAAGAGCTGGTTGGAGTCACTTCTTTTGGACCTGTAGTGTGTGGCGAGATAAATGAACCTGCAGTCTTCTCATTTCTCTCCAAAAAACAACTCAAGTGGATCAAAAAAACAACGAAGTCATCTGAATTTTAAGGAATCCACAGGAATCAGTCCACATAATTTAATGAACACGAGCATCTTTGTAATCTTCCTTGTTAAATCTGTTACTGCTGTTCCTGTAGACCACTGACTTGAGCATTATTAATATTATCATTTCATTCTTTTACATTTTTATTTTTGATCTCTGCACATATATGACAGGTCCTTATCATTGCACAAACTTTTCCTTTTCTTTGTTTTTCAATCCCCAAGTAACCCCAAGAATATGAGTACTCCTGTTTTCTGCATTTGAAGGCTACCTCTGCAATAAAAGCATACAAATGGGTTTTTTTTGTTTTGTTTTTTAATGTACATACAAAACTCATGAAAGTAAAGCAACAAAGTGAAATTATTCAGCCTGCCAGTGAGAAAGATTCACCAGCTCCTGTTTTATATACTGAAACTGAAACTGAGGCTTGTGAACTGATTTTGTTTTGATGTAGATAAATTACTGAGCATGCTTTCTTATTTGTTCATTTTTCATTCTGATTACTTGTGCTCAGAAACCACTGACCAATCTTTTTCCACACGTTACTTTTTTTATTTTACTTTTAGATAATTCAGTCCTGGGCCACTCCTCCTGTTACAGAGCTGTGGTTATATGGTTATATAAAACTGCTTGATAAGCTAAAACAAAACTAAAAAAAATGAGTAACCTTGTAAAGTAGCTGGGATGGATGGATGGATGGATGGA